CTCTCACTGAATTTTCTATCAACTTGCGGTGAACTAGCTCTCTCACTGAAATCGTTACAATATCAGGGATAACATTATACTCAGTGAAAAACAATAACCGTATTCCAGTTGTAGAAATACAGCAATCGGGAGGGGGCCGGGGGGAGGAGACCCCTGGTAGGGAAATAGAGCAATCAGGAGGGGGTTTGGAGGCAGAGCGCCCGGTAGGGAAATACAACAATACGGGGGCATAGCCTGTGTTAGGAAGGTTTCGGGTTCATACGGTGATCCTTCTGGTAGTTTGTGTGTTTAAGATGCAGTTTAATTGCTCATTCGTTCACACAATGCCATGTCAAATCATCCATGGCCAAATTTTGTCTCGGCATTTTACATTTTCCCCTTTCTTTATCATATGAAATACTATTTTTGACACAGGTTTCCAATTTCCCACATTCTTTTGCTTTTTAAAATGCATGGTATGAACGCAATTTCCCCCCCGCCTCAACCCCCGATTCCCCATGGGATCCCCCAACATTGTTGGCAGGAGTTGGGGACTTTGTTTCTGACAGGTGCGGTCCTATCGTAAACATTTACCAGAAGTACACAAATAAAATAAGAAATATTTCAGTCAATATCCTGTAATGCAAACAATGAATTTCATCAAACTAATAGCAAAGACTCTCTCACTACAGTTTTGTCTTCCAATGTCCTTTATTGAAAGGGACTGTCAGTGTACATGGGCTAAAGACAATATCTGCAAACCAAGGGATATTTGAAGCAAAACCAACTATATATATCACTATCCTCTCTTGGTTTCATTCTACAATTGGAACCACTTTAGTCAATGGTTTTAATTGTCTTAAAAAATCTCAGAATTGTGTGTTTAAATCAGCAAGTCAAAAAAATCACACACACACACACACACACACACACACACACACACACACACACACACACACACACACACACACACACACACAAAAAAAAAAAAAAAAAAAAAAAAAAAAAAAAAATGAAAGCTGTGCATTGCCTTATCTCCATTCCTATAATCACAATATCCCAATGTATACATATATAAAACTCTTCATCTCAATGCATAGATAACCAACACTTCCCTAAAGTATTATGAAGGGTAGGCCATGAGAGTAATAATTGAGATGAACCTATCCCCTTACATCAGCCAAGGTGTGGTTGCTTAATAATGGATTTAAATAAGTACCTTCTTTGTGAGTCAGCCGTCTGTCACAACAACCAATCCCTCAAGTGGAGCCAGCAGCATGCCCTCTCTAGCAGTTCTAACTTATCTCCCTTCAGGTCATTCATGTCATCACCTATTCCCTGACATGAGATGGTACATTCCTAGTTGACTTTACAATAAAGCCTTAGGCGTGGAGTGCGTTTGTGTAAGAAATGAGTTTACTAATTCAGATTTTGGTAAATATCCTGATTCCATTAGAAACTGGGGTTCATAGAGAGACCATTGAGAACCTATAATGGAAAATGGATTATTGGACTTGCTTCATGCACCATATCTACATCCTATGTTGTGTTATTTTAGCACTCATTTCAGTCATATATTAGACATCCTCAGTAGTTTGTTTATTCCTTTATAGCACAGAATTTCAGTATAAGCTTTGGCAATAGTTACCTGAAAGAAATAAGAGGCAATATAAACACAAACACTAATACAACTTAGTTGTCCATAACAGACATTTCTATAGTAGATATCAGAACAGATTCTTGCATGAGCATGTGGGTTTCTCAAGGTATCACTTACATTATTATCTTCTACATAGGTAATAACAGCAACAGCTTACAGGTACAAAAGCCTTTTCATCTGGGAAAGAATAAACATTAAGACACCTAGGTCAGCCACTGGCCTCAAACTGATAAAGTTAGCATTCTAGCAAGGGCCATCAAAACCTTGCAGGCAGCTTGTGAATCTCTGGCATTTGACTGTAGTACAACCAACCATCATAAGCTCTATCTTGGTGGACTAAATATTGGTTGCATGTTTTTGACCTTTCACAGAGTGCAAAGTTTTAAGCCCACATCACAGATCAAAGTAAGTTTCAGTGGATTTAGATAAGAGCACAGCCAAAAAGTAATTTGTTGAGAACAGTCTCGTCCTGTCCTACTAGCAAGTTTAACAGAATGTCACAAACTGTTTTGTCCAAGTAGTACTACAACACTCTTAGAACATTTGCAGTTTTGCCAAGAACTGAGTTTGAGTTTCATTCACAATAATTTTACTATTTTTAAGTTACCTCTGAGTAAAACAAATATGGGATGTAGGACAATATTTTACCAGGTTCTGGTCAAGTGTATTAGCCTACCTTCACAACATGAAATCGAGGAACCAAGGATGAGAACCTGGATGCCCTTACAAAACCGACTTGCAGGCACATATTTACTATAAAAGTAGTGCCATGGCATGATATATCATAAGCAGGCATCTTGGGAAGCAGAGGGATCTATCCTTCTTACCCTTGTAATTCCTCAGCTCATCTTTACAAAGTGGGGCCAAGATTTTCACCTCATATGGACATTAATATAGGTAGACTGCACAGTTCATAAACTATCTTTTGCTACCAATACTACTTGTTTCAACATAGCAAATGTTGTCATGAAATGTATCAGATAATAAGAGTAAAAGAAATAACGATTATAAGGATTAAAAACATTATAGAAGGAAAGGATTTTGGTTCCAACAATCCTGATATAAATTTCTTTGCTCATTCATTAGAATCTGGAAGATATTGGCCATGCACTTCTTCAATAAACAATGAACTTTTTTCTCGAAATGTGTTCATCTGTTGGTATCATCCGAAGATAAATAATGCTTTTGTTGTTTATCTTTCGGAAATTGGACTTCTGATGATAAGTTTTTTCTACTGTAACTTTCTAAATCTGACTCGTTGTATGCCCACTTCTCCAGAACGGAAAGGAATACCCACTAACTAATAAAAATCAAGTAGGGAAACTAAAACCGACACGTATATAAACAAAAATAACTGAAAAATGGAACTCACAATATTGACAGAAGCTTGACGCAACGCCCTGTTCTCTTCGTGAAGGCTCTTCACCCTCAATTTATACGTCTCCAGTTCCGCTCTCAGCACCCGGTTTTGCTGTTGCAAGCACTCGATCCTCTTCTGCCATTGCTCCCGAGTGATTGGCGAAGGAGGCATAGAAGGAGGCTGCATAATCGGGCCATCGGTGACAGAAGACGAGTCGCTCTCGCTCGCGCTGTCGGCCATGTTTAC